GCTTCCGATCGCATCTTTCACCGAATCGCAAAGCCTTTACTTGACTTGGGACAGAGAATGTTTATTGGGCTTCATTAGCAAAAAAAGCCCAATCACCTTAGATCAGCAAACTTGATTAGAGATAATTAGCATTGAACAAGTAAAGAAAAAATTATTAATAAGGCCTAATCCCAGAGATCAAACTCTTCCTGTATATACCCCCCCACACTACAACATTTTACAGACAGCACAAAACAACACTTACAATATTTGTAATGAGATCATTGTTGTCTACCTATAAATAATAAACAAGCATGTCTGTCTACAAGCGGCTCAATCAATCAGCATCTTCCGCAGTGAAATCAGGCTCGGGAGGCTTCTGCAGCTTGACCAAGTCTCTTATCCTTGTGTTCCGATTCCTGTGAATGGTGCGTAGCGCATTAGCCGCAAACTTAGTCACAAGAAACGCAGCCCCAATGGAGTATGAAGAAGATCCAGTGGTTGAGCTGGGCACGGCCTCTGCCTCGGCTTCTTCCATCTTCTTCCTCTTGCAGTATCGGCGCCAGGCGGCTTGGATAAAGCAAGCAGCCCAAGTCCTCCATTGGTGAGAGTAAAACCTGAACGTGTGCTGCACTTGCCTGCTATGTAGCCGCCTGAACTGGCTTGCTACAAACTTCAGCTCCTCTGAGGTCAGCGCAAAAGCCTCTACTTCTGTCAGAGCTTTCACGGTTCTGGTGGAAGATGGGAGATTCACACCTGATTTGGGATCCAATGCCCATGTCAGAAGCTCTTCCCCACAAAACTCTCCTTCTTTCAGCAGACTACGGTTGAAGAAACCGCTCCTGCCTCCATCCGTTGTCACACTCTCGAGGCGGCCACGTATTATGAATAGCATCTCATCTACAGGGTCTCCTTCCCGGACTAAGTAGGTACTCTCCGTGAACAAGCATGGTTTCAGCCTCATACATATCGCATCCAGCAGCTTGTCGTCCATGCTCTCAAACAATGGAACCTAATATATCATGATGAAAACGCCATTAATAGTGAGCATAACCAGTACCAACAGTATTTTGAACCAAGTTATGTGGTCGATGGTCAAGACCGTTATTTCAACGTGTCCTGAATATTCTTTAGGTTCTGTGATCTTTTTAAGAAGTTTGAATGAACTCTAATAGTGCGAGATCTTACCCTGCGCACTAAAGCCAGACAAAGATGTCGCTTGATGTCTCTCCGGAGATCCTTGGGGAGATTCTGAACGAGATACTCTTCATCTACACCACGTGTCTCCAACCATTTGTACTGGTCATAGCGTCTCACACGCTCCCTAAGATCTTGTGGTAACATCCTGTGATGCATCCATTGTTCTGAATCACGCCTCTTCACTCTCATTTCTTCTAGCCGTATGGTAAGAGATTGGAGATATGTCTGTCCCAAGATTGCAAATGTTAAGCATGATGCTTCCACTGAGAGAGCTAGCAGGAAATTTCTATTGATTCATGGTGGTAGATATAGTCACCTGCATGTTTCCGATGAGAAGAGCAAAGAGAATCAACCCAGAAATGGCAAGAGCTATGGAAAATATGATCTCCAGTGGGTATGTACTGGTTTCCAGCCCTTGTCCAAGTGTACTGTTGTGCAATCAATGAAAAGTAAAATTTCAATACATGTAAAAAAGAATGAGTTATGTATTTAGTTAATAAGGAATATCTGAAACTCATAGAAGCAGATTTCCGAGCAAAAACATGTAATCGTGTTATAGGAGCTGAAAATTTGTAGTTTTTTGGCAAGAGCAGAGCAATAGTCTTTTCTTTACTCTGACTGATTTGTGATAGAAGAAAAGGAGTAAACAAAGGTTACCTCAAGTTCTGAAGGCCCCACCACAAACAATAACAATATTTTGTGATGAACTTTTGAGATGAGACAATGCCAGACGATAAAGCCTGTGTATAAATCCCAAAGTTAAACGGAGGATTAGGATCATCGAGGTCAGCACGACACTTGGACTGAAGAACAGATTCTTTGGTCTTGTTCCAAACACCATAACCGTCCATGTTTTGATTGCCGCAGTACAAGAAATCTGTGCTGCAATTCCCTGCATCTCTACAGGCCTCCTGCCAGCAGGCGTCGTTACGTTCTAAGGCTAAAAGGTACCAAAACGCTCCAACTATCTGCAACATAAGCAAAGGTGGTCAATCAAGATTACACTTCCAATCAGCATGGAACAGTACACAAGCAAAATCGACTCAATAAACTAACACGATCCGAGTGGTTCTTCATAAGAAACTTTACATTTATGATCCTGTGAACATCAATTAAAATAGAACATCACAAGTTAGCAGAGACGGCTTAACCAGGAAGCTCGATATGACTTGCAAGCACTGAACAAAAAGCAATGTAATAATTAAGAGAAAATCCTAAGCACTCACATGACTTGCAAGCATATATAAAAGCAGGTAATAGGCGGCACCAGCCCAAGCAGTTTCTGCAAAGACACCTGCTGTCCTTTTCAATTCCGATGTCAAGGGTAAGACACGTAGAAATCGCGGTATATACTGAACCAATACAATGAAAAGCAAGGCTTGCTTTGTAGCTAGTACATCCGACCCCCTTGACCTGTGCAAGAACCTCCAAACTACTATCTGCACATACACAAATGAATACTGTAAATCTGAAACCAGCAAGCTTCAAACAGATATCTTTGATTACCAACTAAATGCATCCTTAAAACAAATCATCATGCAGAGAGCTTCTGAAGAAAAAAACAATGATGTTGTCCAACATACAAATTATTGAAATGATCTAGACTTATATAACCAACCTGAGGGACAGGAAGTACAGAGAGAAAATCAATAATAAACCACCGTTGCAAATATCTCTTTGCTATCTGTGCAGGATCTATCACGAGTTCACCTCGCCCAAAGACCCGGGATGAAGGTGCAATATAAGCAGTCCTAAGCTGGAGAGCCATGTGAGCGAGATAAAACACATCGATGATAGTCCGCAATGTAGTTGCCGTGATAGCCAGTTTTCGGTCAATACCCAGGCACTTGGACTCAACATTGATCACAGGAAGATAGAAGAAAAAAGGGTCCACAAACACTGAAAGAATACAGGACATAACAAATAATTTATTGCAAAACAAGAGGGTCTTGTCCTGAGGATCAAATATCTTTTTTTCAGATACTTTAAGGTCTTCTGGGAACACTGCTCGATAAACACCAAAACCAAGTGAACGACCTATCGATTTAAGCCCTTTGGAACCCTTTTGGATCCCTTTCTTAAAAGATCCAGATGTGTTATGGCTTCCATGAATTGGATGAAGTGGTCCACTAATATTGGAGGCGTAGTTCTGTTGGCGAGATACAGATGATGATGGTAACCTAGAGTCCAGATCATCCACCCTATTAAGCATGACCAAGGCAACTTTCAGATTATTATGCACCAACAAGCAAAAGATTAGGAGTCATCGAATAGATCAAACACTACAATTTCATCAGGAAACAAATTAGAAAACACGCATTGCCTAAAGAAAACTGCAAGGGATTCAAAAACCTGATGTTTAGGATAATAATTTTGAAGGAAAAGGTTCACTTGAGGGCTTCAGTGAATATCATTTTGCTCCATTAAAGTCCCAGAACAAGCACAATATGTTTAACAGATTCAAACTATTGAATGTCACATCTCTCTATTAAACAAAAAAGATGCGCTAACCTCATAAAGTTGTCTCGTTTGCCTGCCATGGTTGCTAATAAGCAACAAGAATTCGATAATCTTCAACGACGAAGCCCACGATCACTTGCTCATATCGATAAAGAAAGAACACAGTTTAACATACTGTTCTCATGAAGCAAGCTACATCATCCAAAAATAAGACAAGAAAAATCCACCATTAGATTTTCTCGGATGAATGTTACGCACTGTGAGAAATGCATCATCACCTAATGAAGTTGATAATAAGATGCCAAAGTTCCAGGAATATATTCTGCTGGTTGAAGAAATACGCTAACTCTCACCAGTAAATGTTCCACAAGCAAAGTAACATCAACTTTGTAATAAAGGGAAAAAAAATTGATGAATGAATTATCGACCCCAACACTAGATTTAGAAATAGCGCTCAGATACGGAAAACAAGCAAAATAAAAGAGACACGAGCTTAAAGAACAGTAATTAGGAACGGAACAGAAGCGAACTTGCTAAAACAAGAAAACAAGAGAAAAGACAGAGACTTACTTAAAAGAGAATCCATGGCTTAAGACGATTTCAAGGGTCCCGACGATGAGGATAACGCTTTGCAGTGAGAAGTAAAAGAACGAACAAGAAGACACGAAAGTGGGTGTATAGCAACAACAGAGCAGACAAGTGGTATCACCTTTACCAAAAAAGAACAAAGGCAATGAAGAAGAAAGGTAAACGACCTAAAATGACGTTTTTGCCCTTGATTATAAGCAAAAGGTAGATTTTCACATGAAGCCTCAAAAGTCAAAAGGCACAAGCCAAAACCTGTGATATTATACAAGACAAAGTTGGTAGTAGATAAGCAGTGGCTCCTACAATGTGAAAATGGAGGATTTTGTACAAGTATACAAGTTCTTCTACATCAAACCACCATCTCAGCTTCTTTGACACTCGAAGGGATTCCAACTTCCAGTCTCATTGTAGCTCTATATTGTTCAGGTACATCGGCACCAGCCTGCGCGCATATCTCCACAACAACAGGTGCTTGCCCGTAGAAGCTTCGTAGCTCCCGCTGCATTGGCGGCCCGTTCACATCAGGAACATGCCAAACGTATCTTGGTGGTATCAAGTCGTTAAGGACTGCAGATTGCCACCCGTGCTGGCCATTCCGCTGTTGGTGCTTGAAGGCACCGCAGTTCTGGGCCTTGTGTCCCGTTGGACCTACATGAACCTCGGGACAGTAACCGCATACTCTAACTCTGTACATCCTCATCAGCTTTTTGGCTCCTGCTCTCATTTCTTCCCATGCTTTTAATGTTTCTTCGGCTAGGGAGATTGTTTCTTCTTCGCTAGAAGGGGGAGTGATCTCTGACATGGGTAACTCGGTTAACAAAGGTACCGGAGGAGGCTGGGGCTCTAAATCAGGCAATTCAGTTTCATCTGCATCAACAAACTCGCTCTTGCCAATGCGGATTATTGGTTTTCTTCTCCTTTTCGTTGGAAATTCAGGGATTTCAACACCGCCCTGAATACAGAGTTCAACTACAGCAGGAATTCGGGGAATCGAGAATCTCTCGTCGTGACGAATGCGCTTGCCAAGGCGGTCGTACAGGTGATAGGCTTCAAGAGGAACAATAACGTCTTCAATGACTGAGTTTGTCCATTCATGAAGACCTTTCCTTTGGGAGGCATTCGGACCTTTACACGACTTAAATGGGTGTCCGTAAGGTCCAACATGGATCTCATTGCACCACCTAAGAGACCAATCAAAGAACATCAAAAGGTATAAGGCAAACCCATACTCAAACTGACCGGAAACAAAACGGAAAGAGGAAGAAGATTTACCCACAAGCATTAACACGAACAGCTTTCATTAGCCGGTGGAGATTGTTGATCAATCTGATTCTTGCATTGTATACTTTATAGGCAAGAGGCACAAGGCTTTTCACGACCATACCGTTTTTGGGAGGAGGGAGAGGTCTCCTAGGTTTGTCTTTGTTGTTCTTGACTCTCTCCCTCGCAGCTCGTCTCAGGTCCACAATGGGAACCGGAAAGGGTTTCTTCTCTCTCCTTGTGTACTGCTTAGGTGCGTCTGCATTCTGAGGATGATCACTTCTAACAACAAATGGAAGAGATCGACGCTCTTTACTAAGCAGAAGCTTGGATTTGAACTCAAGTCTGAACTCAATGCTACTTCCCTGCATCGAATATTCATACATAACAGTAATTACTTAACACTATACTGGAAACTGGAGTTTACACATAACTTTAGCCTACGAGGACATAATCATTACCAAAGTACAGTCTTATCCAGTTCTTCTAAAGACCATGACTAGAACGAAACTAGGGAAACGAATTGAGTGATACTGACTGCTAAAGGAATCTGACCTGAAGAGAAGAAGAGAACCCGAAACTTGAAAACGGTATGGGATTGAGAAATTGCCTTTTGGGTAAGCTCTGAATAGCGAAAGGTACAGTTTTAGGTGAAAACCCCGAAAGATCTGCCCCTGGGAAAATCAAAGGAAACCAAAATCAATCACAATCTGACAATAAAAGGATGAGATTGAGAATCGATGATGGTTTATTTGAAGAAGAAACTTACAGGAAACCGCGGAGTAAGTTATCGACATCGTCCACAAGTGCTGGATTAAAGCATTGGAAGAGGAAGGATAAGGAAGAGAGTGGTCTCAGTCTCGGAGACGAAGATGGCTCATGAAAATCATTTGGTTCCATAAAGAATAAAAATATGGGCTTTTAAGTGGGTCGGAGGGTCAGAATTGTGGCCTACTTAGAGGTGTGACATTTGATTCCAAGTAGAGGTGTGTAACCGAACCGGGTTTCCATCGAATTCTCGGTTCATTGGTTTTGTATAATAGCATTAGCATCCAAAAATAAAGCAAAATCTATTGTTGATAATGATGGTTTCGATTAGGGATTTTATACCTAGTTATAGAGAATTTTTTTTTTTTTGGGGTCTAAATGTTAAATTTATACTACCATTTTGTGAATTTTGTCATTGTTGCTTATAATTGATTAGAGAGCAATTACATAAAGGAAGGTTAAATTAGAAAGGGAAAGAAATAAATACAAGTGAAATAAAACTCAAAAAGAGAGGTTTAACCATAAAAATTAGAAAGAAAAAATCTTTTTACTATGGAGAAAATTATCTTGGTTTATTTTGGTTTATCCAGATTGAACACTTGACAGTTTGCAGACCATAACCAAAATTGCATGAACTTACTAGTGCATGAATTGGTAAAATTATTCTTCTTAGCACATTGGTGCAAGTTAACTTACCACCATTGAACTTGCAAGAGGCCAATATCGAGAATGAAGGTTAGAATCTCTCTCGGACAAAATCTTAGTAAGTATTTCTACTCGAAAAAAATATAGATTATCATTTCTATCTAATACCTTCTCATATTCGAATCGCATAACTCCATCTGTTTACTGAAATATAGAATCATTTCGAGTAAATTTTTCTGATTTTTAAAATCATGAAAACCATAAAATATGTGTAGATTATTCATTCAAATGTTGTATGCAGCATGAATGAGATTGAAATGTCATTTTTGAAATTAATGTGAAATTGATCAGTGTTGTTAATTCTCCTTCTCTAATAACCGAAAGAGAATTAACGACACTAATCAATTTCACATTAATTTCAAAAATGGCATTTCAATCACATTAATAGCATATGATCAAGGTAGCAACAAATGATCTACGAAGGAATAGGATCAACAAACTGACAACGAGGTATGTTTCTTGATTTCCTTACTCTTTCTTCTTATTTTAAGAGTAACGAACTCTAAATAGGAAAAACAGACTGCGTTTATGGAATGGATGATTCTTAATAGATGATTCTAGTATGCTTATGAGATAGTTTACACTGATCATTTAAAAATTCAAAGAAATAGCATCAAAAGAAACCAACAAGTCTTTGAAAACTGAAAGAAAAAAGCATTATCTCATAGTAGTTGTAGACATACACATAAGTAATATCTCATAGTAGTAATTCTTCATCAGCGTTTTGATCCCAAACGTTGAGTATCGCATAATGGATAAATGTGGCTTCTTGATACGTTGGCTGTCTTCTCAGTACTTGACGTATGAGCATAAAACCCTCCTCCAAGTCAAGCTAATTGTGGCGCTTTCTCACGTTAAAAGATTCTTCACCGATATCTGAAACAATGTGGTTGAAGAAGAACCTCTGTCTTTCACGGTGGTAGATGAAGGGTAAACTTGAGCTGTTTTTTGTTTAGCTCATTAATACAATTATGGTTATGTCGAGTATCTAATGTATGATGAAAACATGCAGCTGCCCACAGATGATGGACATATGTTACCCATCAAAGGATGACCCAAATTCTGTCCCTCTTAGTTGTAAAGATATTGGGTGTCTTTATCCGGGAAAGTAGGGGTGTCACTGAGCCAGCTCAGCTCATGATGAGCTAGAGTATTTTACGGCTCACCTCGACTCAGCTCAAGCTTAAGAACATAAGCTCGAACTCATATCATCTAGATCATGATCTAAATGAGGTAACTCGCGAGTTCATAAGAAATAAATGTAAGAATAAAATAATTAAAAGTTAAACTATTATAAAATCAAAATTTTATCTTTAAATGTTATAAATATTTTAAAAAAATCCAAATAATATTGTTATTGAATGCTAAATCAAAACCAATCCAATGCCACATACGCTAAGACTATGATAATTAACGTAGATAATTAACAAG